GGAAAACACCCTAAACTTGGTCCCAAGTTGGGGCTGGAAGGTGCAGTGGAAGGAGACGCTTTCTTTCCAAACTGTTCTCCCCAGCAGCCCACAGACCAAACCCTCCAAGACCTGCACAATTTTTCTACTGAACTAACAGTCGAGGATTTCATTTGGTTTAAGCCTCATGAATGTAATCAGATAAGCAATACACTAACTATAAGCTCTATAATAATTTTCATGTGGTGAGGTTAAGACTAAAGCTAAATTGCCCTTGGGCTAGAAACAAACACTGACTTTGAGAGCTGCAGCATAAAATCGTAGAAACATCAAGGACCTTTCGTGGCCAGCAGCACGAGCCCTCAAGTGGCGTCACTGAAACCGAGTCTGCCCATGTTTGCACAGATTTTCAACTGAAATATTACAATCATTTGATTAATGAGCCATTACTCCTGCTGCCTCCTGCAATTTGTACGTCTCCAGCAAGGTCATCTACTGTCCCAACATGCTCGTTACCTGCTAGGAACTGGGGACGCAAAAAATGTGCTGCTTTTGCATCCACATTATTAGTGAAATGAACTAAAAATCATGACTTTCCTGACAAAATGTAAGGCAGATTAAAGCTGAAGAGTTTGTGTGAGGTAGCAAGCTGCAAAAGTTTTCATTTGAAAAATATTTGCAAGTAAATAAAAATTGCCATGTAAGGCTTTAATAGCTTGCACAGTTCTCAGATCATGCTGGTCAGTCAGTGATTTAGGAATTCAAAACATTGCAACAGACTTTCCCATCTTAAAAATAAGTCTGGTACGTTATCAGAAATATTTAAGAGCTAAAAAAAAAGCTCTTTTATGGAAAGAGTAGAGATCTGTCCTGTAGGGCATACAGAAGCAATTCTCAATTCTCTCACTGAATTAAAAGGAAATATAGGACTGCTACTGTTCTCTCTCACTGTACATGTCTCAGTGAGTGGCTCGTATGAAAGGGAATCCTTCACAACTTTGAGAATTTAAAGAGGCAACACGAACAACGTGGAGGAGGTATTTTCTTCTATAGTTGATGTTTTCTAAAGGCTACATCTTCTTTCTTTTCTCCCTCCAAAGGGCAGATAGGTAGGACACAGACTTTTCTCATGCTTTGGGGAAAAACCCTATTCAAGGATACAACGCACACCAGAAATTCCAGATGCACACACAGGAAACGCCACCAAGGCCAAACGCCCGTCACGGGGCTCGAGTGGTTCCACGGGGACGGGTTCATGGAGCCTCCTCGCCACCTAAATGCCACCAGCCGCTGGATTCCAGCGCAGAGGGGAGCAGAGGGTGCAAGTTCCTCAGGCCGATGTGGGAAGTGGGGAAGGAGCGAGTCAGAGCCGCGCCAAGCCGGGGAAACCTCCGTCAGGGGCTTCTGGTTTCACGGGTATTCCCCGCGGGATAACGAACCTCTGGAGCTGGCTCATTGCTAGACAGAGCAGCGACTTCTGTTTTCTAGAGATAAAGTGGCTTCAGCTACGTAAATTCAGGATGCAGCCCTCAGGAGAAGCCCATCTGCCAAGGAATAGCCTCGAGTGTGATAAATATTTCAGCTGATATATTGCACAAGCTTTTACAGCCAGATTTGGAGCCAGTAGGTGAACTTGACTGGAATGGAGGATTTTTTTCAAGCCTTTCTGCCTTTTCTGTTAGAATTCAGCTCAGAAGCTGCTGCTGCACACGTAAAGAGCACAGGATTCACCTCCTCAGTATTAGACCTTAAATCCTGAGCTTAGACCAAAGCTCTCACAAAACACGGGTCAAGCGTCCCTTGAAGCCAGTTTTGCCTCACAGGGCAGAACTTGACCCATTCAGACTTTGTTCTGGAAGCAAACGGACGTTTACACTCACTGTCTTTTTCTTCCCAAAAAACATACGCTTCCAACATTTTTAAGTTAGCAGAAGGCAAGGCATATAAATGTAAAGGAGGCACTTGGTTTCAGCTGCTAATGCTCTGGAAGCCCCCGTGGCTCGTAAAGCAAAATCCTGCGAGCACTAGTTCACACAGCGAGGTCCCGAGGGGAGACTCTGCCCAGAGAGCGGCGGCTCCGCTAGTTTCTGGACACAAAGCAGCAGGCACACGGCCAGAGGCCCCGTCTGGCCGCGCAGCGCCTCGGGGCTCAGCAACAGTTTTATTTGCTGACCGACAGGCTGGTTGGAGGCAGTGCCTATTTGCAGGGCCGCACAAAGCGCCTGCTTGTGAGCGGGCAGCGGCGCTCGCAGAGCGGCGACGCCGCCGGGCTCCGGCCCTGCAGCAGCCGCAGCATCGCGTAGACATCGGCTGCGTTTGGGACTGCGACTGAACTGAGAAAAACCTGAAAAATTCACCGGAACCCAGGCTGACAGTTTCACTTTGGACTATAAACCGAGAGCAAGGGGTTCTGCCCTACTGCAGCACTTCTGGAAGAGCTTCCGTTTGCAGTCCGTTTTGCATCTCAGACAAAAGAAGGAAAAAGCCCACACTTGAAAACCCACCGGGCTGATGATGAGGACAGCCACGTGGAAGGCAGAAGTGCTGAGTACAAGTCTCCGACTCAAACCAAGCCAGCTGCAGACAGCAAGTTCCAATCCCTCATTTCCTAAGACAAGACACAGGCCTCTCGAGGACTGACCACACCACAATCGGAACCTCTTTTCCCTTGAGCTTTCCCTGCTTTTCACCAGCACAACCACTGAGGAATACCTTTACACCGGTTCCTCCCTGCTTTTCACCAGCACAACCCACTGAGGAATACCTTTACACCGGTTCAAAAGCAGAGCAAAGCGACCCATGGAGCGCAGCTCTTCTTGCTGACCAGCTGTAGCAGACAACGTACCCCGCTGCTCTCTCTAGCGCGGCTGCCTCGTAGCAGCAGCAGAGCCAACAGCGCTCCATCGGGAAGGTGAATGCTCGATGCAGAAGGTACAACTCTTGCAGGAAGTTGCCTAGTTTCCTGTGGACAAGAGGTTAGGATCACTGCCTACCTTTCTTCTCCGGCTTCAGAGATGACAGAAGCAAGAAGCTGACAACATGGAAAGGTGTTCTGGGCAAGCCACAGCAAACCTTTATGCCCACAGTCTGCAAGGGGAAGGTTGAGGAGCTTTTATTCTACAGAAACAGAAAGTGAGAACCTCAGGTATTCGAGAAAAGATGTTGTCAAAGTGAAGCTGAACCTCTCATCCATCAGCAATCCAGGCATTCCCCTGTGGAGGGTGGCAGAAACAACTAGCACAGATGTGAAGACATTTCCTATTTTAAAAACTTATAGAAGTTTTGTCTTAGCAACGTTAGGGTTTTGGCTAACGGAATTTACAACAAGGTGCTTACACAATCAAGGAAAACACTCCTACTATAACCACCCTGACTGCAGCCATCTGATAAACAATCGATGCAGAATGACCTCCTCAGTAAGGCAGTGAAACACCAGCACATCCTTATTGCCCTCTCGCCGGGTGTTGGAGCACGTCCCGCTGCCCCTCAGCCCTCCCGCGCTCTTGCTGGACACCGCATCATTGTCACTCAACAGAGCTGATGGAGAGCGGGGACTCGGCCTGGGGCAAACAAACTCTGTAACAAACTTTTCCGGCTTTCCATGTTTTTCACCTCTTTCCTCCCTTCCTTACCTTTGCCTCCTGAATCCCTTCTGTGGTTTTCCTTTTCCCTTATCATCGTTTAACGGGGCATCTTACCACTTCTCCAGGTAGCTATGTGAAATAATGACTGAGTGCAGCGCCCAGAAGCGGCATACAGAGTCGTATCCAAAACAAAATCTCCTGTTCCTTAAAATAAGCTAGCCCTTCATGGACACTGGGCTTGGAAGCCAGTACAAGTTACCAGGGTAAAAAGGATATCATTGTCAGCTCGGCACGGCCCCAACA